AAGCCAGTCATATTCCTTTTAAATGTCTGTTATGTTTGGAAAAAATAAATTTTAAAAATTAATAAAATCATTGTAGTATGTTGAAAATACAAAGGATAGCTAAATATATTAACACATTCTGACATACTGCTAGCACCCTAAGGTAATTATCTGCTAGAGGGCCAATTGTACAGAAAAATAATGTTTTACAAAGAATAATCAACAAGTTAAAGCTCATAAGAAATACAGGACTAAGCATAAGATATTTCAGAGGCATTTATCTTAATGTTGAGGTATTTTTTTCCAAAGATACTGCTATCCAACCACCAACCAACAAATTTTTATTTCAACTGTTAGAATGTAAAGGTTGTAAATACAAGCCATCAACAGGATGACCTGAAACTTTTTGTATAGGTCAGTATAAAGACTGAAGTATTTTCTTATTGAAAACAGTACCTTCCTCACAGTATTATCCTGAGAAATGGGGGTTAGGTGAAAGCACCTGACCCTAGAACTCAGTACATAAATATGATTAAATGTTGAGGTTATTACTTCCTCTATTCCTACAGGAATCTATATTGACTATTCTTCTATAGTCTATATTGAAAGCTAAATGCTTATTTTTTTTTACCAGAATGGTAAATTACAAAACAAAATAGTTCTATAGATTAATGACATAGCTTAATGAAGAAATATTTGTAACACACCAAACTGACGAATACTTTGTATGTGTCTCAAGAGTGTGAAGATCTCATTTCAACTAAATCTACAAATTTGCAAGGAAAGAAAAAGAATCAGTGCACAGCATATTTGACAATTTAGCACGTTATTACTATGGACACGCCAGCATGAAGCAATCAAATGAAGTTGGCTATGAGTGATGGGAGTCATGTAAAGCCAAACACTGTGCACTTCTGCCCAGTCTTCCAGCAAGAGCTGGTCATGGGCACTTTTACATCAACATAAACCTTGTATGTCATAGTTAATGCCAGCAAAATGCAACCTTTGCAAAAATAAATCAGAGTTAGGTTTCAGTCATATAACATTGGTTTGTGCACTTATTTGATACAGAACCAAATAAGGTCAGTTTATGTATAGATAACGGCTAATGAAACATTACTTGATGCAGAAAATAAAGTTAATATGACAACAAAAATTTATGATGAAGAAATCCATAATCACTGAAAAGCAAAACCATTATCCCTAGAATTGAAACCTTTCCTTCATTAATTTGATGGCCTAAAGGCAATGCACTGGCACTGTGCTATATGCAAAGGTCCTACCATTAATGAACTCGGAGATTACTGGAAAACAGAGTCTGTCCAACAGACAGATAAGACCCAATCCAGGAAATAATGTAATTTAATTACATGCAGTGTGTTAAGTCACTTGACATCATGTCAAGTTCTTGGGAACCGTGACTTTAAGTGAATTAAGGTATAACAAAATCAGGTCCTTGAATAACATTTTTTAGCTATCAAGTTTAGGTTTAGTTTAGGTTTCAATTCATCAGCTGGGATTCTCCTTTTACAATGATAAAATGAAACTATATGCTATATTAGAAAGCAAAAAAACAACCACCTAAACCTTAGAAGTCTATTCTAGGATTAAACAGGCATAATCAGTTTTACTTTCTATTTTCAGACCCCCATTTCATAAATTAATAAACAGCCAATGATCTAACATTCTGCCTACAGTCAACAAATTCCTCACACTGCTTGCCTTTCCCAGTTACTGTACAGCACAGAGTAAGGCCAGAGCCCTACATGGCCTGGGCACATCGAGGTAACTGCCTAGCAAGGTAAGGGCTAGATGCTCACCCCCACCCTTTCATTCCACAAAAAATGGGCCCATTTTATATGCAAACACTCTTGGGCTAGAGGCTGAACAAGACAACATCTCCGCTCAAATATAACCTATTTTCTAGCAGTTGAAATGACAATAAAGAAGTTAATAAACACATAAAGTAATTACTGTCAGGCAGAGTGCTTACTCTGTTCTCTGGGTAGAGGGTGAGAGAAGGTCTCTTTGGCATAAGCGGGCATTTTTATCGCTTCACTCAAGAAAAAGCAAGTGGACAAGGTGACAAATGAGACACTCTTATGAGGCTGAATTCAACAAGGGTGCGGCACTGATGAAAACGTGACAATGAGGCAGTGAGTGGGCTATAGAGCAACCCCGGTGGGTCCACCTAGGGAATGCACTTCAGAGTCATTCTGAACATGGTAGGAAGTCACTGAGGAATTTTTTTTCTTCTAGTTTAGGAAAATATATGATTTGACTTGTTTTAATAAGAGCACTATGGCTATCAAATGGATGACAAGACTAGGTGGGCCAGAATGGAAAAATTAAGTTAGATCACAACTGTAGTAATAGGAAAGGAAGGAACTCATGGTGGGTCCAACTGAAATGGCCACAATGTAGGTGGTGTGAAAATGACAGAACATGTATTTTAAAAAGAGCAAATTCTTAAAGAGTTACAAAACAAAACAAAAAGCCAATAATGGAGAAAAATGTTCAGACATCTGCAGAAGAAAGAAACCAGATGCAATTAGATTGAGAAAATTATAGCCCAGACCTTGCGTAGGAGGGTAGTTGTGAAAGATGAGAGTGTTTCTGGGTCTCTTTTGAGCAAAGAAGCAAGAGACACAAGCAGCCCCATGCGTCGGGGAGGCAGACTCAGGCTAGTCAGGACCACTGTCTCATCTCATCTCGTCTCATCTCCCAGAGGTGGTAAGCAAAACCTTGAAGCTAGAGCAGTGAGTGTGGGATGCTGCATCAGAGTCCACTGCAACTAAGGGGCAGGCCAGAGGCCCAGGGTGCTATAAGGAGAGTCCTCACCACACACCCTGCCTCGCGTGGTGGCCACTGTAACTGGGACAGAGACACCGTCCAGCCAGGGAGGGTGTGCCACAGGCTGTACCAGAGCTGGAGCTGGTGTTGGATCTGAACAGGCTGCTCTGGTTGGTAAATACCAATGGCATACTAGTTATTAAATATTTTTAATATCATCCCTTCAGAGAGGCAAATACCAAATACCATGACAAAATGGAGGGAACCTGGTTCTGGGTTAAGATGCCACATTCCACTTTAACTGAATATAACTCAACCCCCTGAAATACAACAAGACAATCCATAAAGAACGATGGAGCAGCAATCTGTGGACTCTGAAAAATAGCAGCAAGCAAACTGTGGAAGTAAACCAAGGACAACCATCTGCTGTTTTCAGTATCTCCAGACTCCCAACCTGAACTCAGAGGAGACCCGAATCCTAGAAGGGTGCATCAGAGACAAACAGCGGGTGTAAGAGAAACCTGTCTTCCCTTGCCAGAGGCCTTGAGAGGGCGCGGGAGGGGCTGCTCCAGGGAGCCCCGAGAGCTTGCGGGGCTTTTTTTCTTTTTACCTTCTCTTACAGCTCTGCCCCCAAGGAAGCCTATTTTTACTGTGGGTACTGGAGCTGCAGGGATTCATCAAGTTCTGAAGGAGGGGAATCTTCCCAACCAGAGGAAAAGGACTATCAGGAATGCAATGGAACTACAAGGAGAAATACATAAAGCTGCACTTACAGTCGGAGAATTCAATCTCTCTCTCCTAATAACTGACAGAGCAAGCAAGGATGTAAAAGACTGCAAGACACCATCAATCATTTTTGTCAGACACACATTTATTAAACCTTCCATCCCCAAACAATGCAATACACATTCAAGTGTACAGTGAACACACATCATGGATCATTTCCTGAGCCATAAAATAACTCTCATTAAAAGGTGATTTAACTCATAGAAAGTGTGCTCTCTGACCACAATTAAACTAAATTAAGAATCAACAAAGGTTACAATTTGGAAAATTCTCCAATGTTTGGAAAGCACATCAACAGATTGCTTTAACAACAACAACAAAAAAAGTAACGGGTCAAAGAAAATATCAAAAGGGAATTCGGCAGTATTTTAAACTACATGAACATGAAAACATTATTCATCAAAGTCTGTGAAAGATAGCTAAAACATAATACAGAGGGAAAGATACAGCACTTTTAAAATACATTTAAAATTCATGTAATAGTAAAGAAAGTTCCAAAGTCAAATCACTTCAGTTTCTACTATGAAAAACTGAAAAAAGATAAACTAAACCCAGAGTAGGCAGAAGAAATTATAATAAAGTACAAAGCAGAAATTAGTGAAGTAGAAATTAAGAAAGCAATATGGAAAATCAGTAAATCTGAAACTAATTCTCTGAGCTTGGTAATATGTCCAGAACGGACAGGATGAGACTAACAGTGGGAAGGCAAGAGGTGGCGTCAGCACAGGTGGTCATGACGCAATTCAAGAACAGGTCATTTGGGTAGTCCTACACTTGTTATTATTTTGGCCCTGAGAATCCAGCCATAGATAAAAATCACGCCTATTATGAAATATTCATTCTAGTTTTGAACAGAGAAAATAAAATGAATACAAAGGTAAAAAATGAAGAAAAAGAGTGCCAGCCATGTAACAGTGAAGAAGTCAGTTAAGGAAGGCCTCTGAAGATTTCACTAATACACAGTATATTTACCTGTTCTGGGAATTGTCAAAATCAGTCAATAAACTACAGTAAATTGTAAGTAAAAAAGGAATAAGATCTTAATTTAAGTCAGGGATTATAGGCAAAACCATTTTTTATAAGAGTTAAAAAAATACTATATTGAGGAAGATTTTAAAAATCTATAGAATGATATTCCAATGAGCATTACTATTAAAAAGTTACTTCTGGTTAAAAAAAAGTGACATCTGGACATAGATTACAATGCCTCAAAATTACTTAAAACTTCAAAATGACATAAGATTATTTTTCATGTTCTTAATCTTGATTTAATGATATCATATCATGATTTAAAACAAAAACAAAAACATTTAAAGCCCTAAATGAGAAACCAAAATGTCTAAACTAGACCCAGAGACAATTCTAGGACTAAGATTCAGTACTCAAAAGGAATAGTTGGTACCATTTTTAAAAGTTAAGGGTAAATCACATGAAAAACTTACCTTGCCCAGAGCGGCCCTGGCGAGAGTCTACACTTGACTGTCTTCGATCTGATGGTTCCTCGCTCCCTCCATCTGCATAAAATTAGAAAAAGGACACACTAAGCTTATTTGTCTAAAGTATGTCACATAATTCACAGGGCTGTATGTTTCAGCGTAATAAGCATCCCAGTACTTGCTATGGGAACATATGTACTAACAATGGATGACAGAGATGCACATGGTCCTTGCCCAGGGATGATACACAAACTTGTGAAGTACTGCACCTCCAGCAGGAGCGCTGGAGGAAGAGAGAGGCCCTGCGTGGCTGGGGAGTCGCCCCTCCCTCACCCAACACTGAGCAGCTTCTGATAGCGATAGTCTCCATTCTAGTCCCCATGGAGAACAAAAGCATTTAGGGAGCCCTACCTTATCATGGGCCATCAATAATGTATATTGCACCCTACCTTATCATGCGCCATCAATAATGTACATTGATGTGTTTAGATGAGATAACATCAAGAAATACTGAGTTTCTTTACCATAATTTTTAAAATCACAGGGAAACAAATTCATTTCATTGTATATAGATCTTCATTTTAAGAAATAAACAATAAAGTATACTCATGATTTAAGAAAAACTTCCATGTGTTTGAATTTATATAAGTAATTCTCTCATTTTATTACACACACACACACACACACACACACACGTTACCATCAGAAGAGAGTAAAGGAGAAAAATCAATGAATTGAGAAACAGCATACCTACAATTTAAAATGAGATGACAGTGGTCTGTTCCTAAATTTTTTGAGTTCAAATGGGTTAAAATATCAAATATTTCCACTGTTCTTTTTATAGAGCCACCACCCTGCCTTTTAACTTGCTGGTGAACAAAGTAGTGGCTTCCAACAGGTTTAACAGGGACTCTGGCTCTCTCCTGTGCTATGCTGCTGATTATTCTGTGTCCTAGGGTTTGCTATTCAATTCATGCTTTATAACCATATACACTGTTACCAAAAGTTTTTTTTTTCAAGTACACTTACTATAAGGCTTAGCAAATACTTAAACACATCTGAGTATGTGACTGCAAAGCATATATATCAATATCCTTTACTATTTTGTTTAGCATTACTAACCTAACAGGTAAAATAGTATATGGTCAATTTCAAATATACAGTGATGACATAAATAATTGGGCAGAAAACATTCCTATCTTCCAAGTTCAGTGTGACCACAGCAATGCAATTAAACACTAAAATTCTATAGCTTAACTAGATACACATAGTAACTTATTATATAAAAAGATACTTATGGTGATAGGGAGTCATAGTTTTTTGTCCCGGGGCATCATCACCGTGAGCCCAGGGACTCCACCAGTTAGGCAAACTTCCCGCCGCAGGTCTATTTCACCGCTCCTTACCAATGCGAACCATCATTTACGATACTCAGTTCTAGGAATAAAATTAGGGCTTGAGAGAGTCTGCATTACCATGCCTGGGTAACCAGAGCACAAATTATACATCCATTCCCTATCACTCTGTGAAACCTGTCACTGTGAATTTAAACATATTTGCTTTATGGGGGAAGTAGCATTGAAGAAGAATGTGACTTCTACAACAAAAGAAATAAGGAAAGCTAACTCTTTCTAAATGCTTACAGTGTGAAAACATGATACGTTTTCTATGTTTAGTAAAAAGGTCAATGCCCATTACAATGACATATGAATTACTCTCAACAAACCCAGCACTTGAGGGGGGCACATTTCAGCTTACCTGTGGCAAGATAAGCTTCACAGGCTGTCACAGAAACAACAACGCATACAACAAGTAGGCACCCTGGTTTAACTGTTCATGTTTCTGAGAAATCTTTAAACACATTTGCCTAGAACAGCCTACATTTTGAACAGACAACCCTTGAAGTAGTGGGAAGTATATTAGACTAAAGAGATGGGACACTGGTGATTTTCAATCCTGGCTGAATGAATACACGAGGTTCTGTTACAATAAACCATAGACCTTAATTGTGGACACTGAAATTGAGTTACATATAATTTTCACATGTCACAAAAAATTCTTCTAGTTACTGTCAACCATTTAGAAAAATAAAAACTGTTCTTTATGTGTCTTACTTTAAAAACAGGGGTGGGGGTCGGGGAGATGGGGCAGAGTTGCCAAACCCTGATCTAGGAGTAGGGAGCTCAGATCAAAGGCTAATTAAAGCAGCCCCTATGAACAGCAATGCCTTGAATTAAGGCAAGGCCAGAGCAGCTAAGAAGCTCCGCAAACAGAGTTTAAGCGACTCTTTGGGCCACTGAGAGTTTAATGGCAGCATGGGGTGATATATTTTTTATTTTTTCCTTCTGGCTTCCTGTGGGTGACCTTTTTGAGAATAATATTTAAGAATTCCCAAAACCACCTTGAAGAAACAGAAGCCACTGCCTAATTACATATTATATCCTCAACCTTCCCTATGACCAAGAAAAACATTGGCAGGAGGATGAAAAGCACATGATGCAATGCAGAAGACAGTTTTTTCTTCTTTAATGTTTTATGGTTCTGTCAGGGCTCAAAAAGACAGGCACATCAGCGCCACATAAGTAGTGAAGCAGATTATATAAATACCCTAAGTAAAACATCACAATAAATAAATTATAGATTAATGCCATCTCGATTTGCATGGAAAAACAAATGTGTGCACCACTGGTGCAGTGTGAACTTGATATTAAGGCTTGAAACCAAAACTGGATTTTGAACATTAAAAATTTCTGCAGACAATGACTTTTATATAAACATTCCAATGGGATGGGGAGGATTAGGAAACAATAGCAGCAACACCAAAATTTTCTGGGAATCCACGTTCTTCAAATACAGAATGAAAGCAATATGGCATGATACCATAAAAAGTGCAGGCAGAATGAAAGGGTAAGATGGCCCACTGCGGATGAGCTCACTGCTTTACTTAGCTGCCCCTGAGACAGATTTCACCAAACTGCTGGAAGTAATCTGAAACGATGTAACTGTGATAATAAAGAACAAAGTGACAAACTTTTCAGAACATCAATGTACTTTTAGATTTCAAGGTTACCAGGAAATGTGTGGGAAGACAGACCTGCTCAGGGCATGACAAAACCTGACCTTCAGTTCATTCTAGCCACTCTTGAGTTTCACTGAGCCTCAGCCTTATCAAACTAAGATCTGAACAGCATTTTCTTCTGAAGATTGCTGTGAGGCTAAAATATGTTACAGTATTTTATAATCTCGAAATCAGTGACCTTTCAATCAAGGCAAACTGGAGACTTTGGGGAATGTCTGAAGATATCTGGGGCTATCCCAATTGGGAGGGTAACACTCTCCTCTAATGAACTTGAAAAAATGCGCGAGGCACTGCATGTTCGTGAGGGACCTGGAGACCTGCCTGTGGGCAGCTCCTTAGTGTGGCATGTAACACCCATCAGGGCCTAATGCCTATTTAGCCTTCCACTTTCTCTCCTCACTTATGTCTCAAATAAGACTTTCAAAAATGTTTTATTTATATTCCAACACCACCGACAAGAGCATAATTCCTCAAACACTCCATGCTGACCAGCCTCTGTACTGCTGTCCATGTTTTCATCTTTACCTGGAGCAGCCTTTCTCCCTCGTATCCTCTAACACTCAGCTCAAATGCCCTCTTTCTCAAAGCCTGGTCTGGACCCTCAAGGCAACCAGGTGAGAGGCCCTTCCTAGAGCAGCCTACACCTCCCACCCTCGGGATTTGTCACACAGCCCTGCAAATGCTTTATGAGGATTCTGCTTCTCATCTCCTGCCTCCCAACTCAAGCAGATGTTCTGAGAGGACAGGAGCCATGTATGTCCCATTTGTACTGACTATTGTGGTACAGACCACAATAGTCACTATTGTGTACAGACCAAAGCCAAGCAATAAACATGGCACCTTATAAATACTTACGGAATCATTTTTCTAAAAATGTGGGGAACACCTTATCTGCTAAAACTATAAACTGTTGTTACATAGAGAAGAAATAAAGTAGAAAAAGGACAAATATCAAGTCAGTCAAATTATAACCTCAATGGCTATAGTTTTATCTGCCAAAAAGCTATATATTCTCTAGACTGATAACACCTAATGAAAACTAATTTAATATAAATAAGAATTTTAGTTTTTATGCTAAAGCATAAGACAGTCACATAATACAGCAGATTTTATTCAACTTTGGATATATGTCCATGCCCAAAGTAACTACTGAATGCTGAATTAAATGAGGAAACATTTGCGTTCACTGGTCCCTAAACAATTAACAAGATCAATCACATTTGCTCAGCTTTCATCAGAGGCCAAGAATTATTTTGTCCTTTTCCATGCAGACCTCACAGTCCTCTGTAAAGATGAGACTAAAGAGTACCCTTATACTTAAAATTGCAGCCATAAACAGTAACCACCAAAACCAGATTGTAAGCCCGTAATAAATCAAAGATAACTTGCTCAGAGACCAAGCTTCTGAGCATTGATCAGTGAATATACTGCCTTGCCTAGTGACCAGCAAAGCACTGGCTAGCCCCTCAACTCCCACATCTCCATGTCTGCCACTCCTTGAAATTCACTGTTTTCCTGAAGGTCAAGAAATACCCACACAGGCATGCAGAGGTCAGCTTGCTGTCTTTCTCAGACCCGGCACCCACCAAGCCTCGCTTTCCCTTTCTTAAATAATAACAAGTGTTGCTTCCTTTCTCAAGATATGCTAGTTTCTTCCTTCAGCACTGCCTTGACTTGATAATGCTTCTAGCATGTTGCCAACTTTCCCCTTCAGCAGGAAATTATTTCTTCAAATAACCTTGCACTATATCAATGCATAAAGTAAGGTGTGTCATCATGAACAGGATATACAGATTTATTAACAGATTGTTCAAAAATAATAATATCCTACAGTAATAATTTTTGTTTTCCAATCATCTGTATAATAAAGTATTTAAAAGTATAGAATAAATATATGAAAGGAAAGTAAGAACAATGTTTTGCCTACTGGGAGTTTGTCATATAATAAGGGAAGGAAAGTGCTCATGAATCAATATTAGGCAAGGCTTAAGGGACCAAG